TATTAACAAGTCTGGGGGCATACTTAAAAAACAAGAATAGATTTGATCATTTGAACAATGAAATGTAAAGTTGTAGATCAGAGAAACCGTGTTCCCAGTGTGGAGACTGCCTGCAGCCTGCGTTCTTGGTGACAGGAGATGCCAGCAGTGTCTTTTCATTGAACCCAGGTGCTACATGGGCAGGAAGGAAATGCATGTTGATCAGGGGTCAGAAGCAGGATGGGTGACATTTGAGAGGGCATGTTTACTGTGGGGGTTTCCCTAAACGCAAGGGAGAACTTGTTGGTTTTCGCTCAGAGGTAGAGTTAGTGGAAACTTGGGTAAACCTGGACTGAACTCATGCTGGCTCTTGTACATAATGGTTATCAGTAGGGGACCAAACAAAGGAGCTCTACGCGAGTGTGGATCTCTGTGTGCTAGCCTAAGAGATACAGTAATAAAAACTTGAGACTGGACCAAATACGGTAGACTAGAAGTATACAGAACCAAGCACCTTGGAAATTTTAGTGTGAAGAGGATCCCAGGCACAAAGGCTTGGAAACCGTGTTATGAGCTCAACAGTTGTAGGAAGTGTCTGGCGGTCAATAACACAGGGGCCTTGGTGTTACTGATCACCAGATGTACGTTGTTAATGCATGACATAGTCAGCTAGAAGAATTTTTTACTATTGTCAGTAGGCAATGTTGGATAATGAGGTTGTTAAAAGTGAGGAATAGGTGTAGTCTCTTCCACAAATGGTGCTGGGACAACTGGATTTCTAACATGAAAAAGAGTGAAGTTAAGAACCTACTTCTCACCATATAAAAAATTAATTAAAAATAGATCAATAATCTGGATATAAGAGGCAAAACCATACACCTCCTAGATGAAAACATTTAAGACCTTGTAGATTTATTGTTTGTTTATCACCAAAAGCCTGAGCAACAAAAGAAAAAAAGCGAAATTAGATTTCATCAGAATTTAAAACTTTTGTACTTCTAAAAACATTATCAAAGGTGTAAATACAACTACAGAATGAGAGAAAATGCTTGGAAATTATATATCTGACAAGGTCATAGTATCTACAATATATAAAACGTTCCTACAAGCCAACAGCAGAAAGACAAGCAACTTAATTTAAAACTGGCAAAGGGTTTGGATATTTTATTTCTCCAAAGTAAATCTACAGATGGTCAGTAAACCCCCAAAATGATGTTTTACCTCATTAATCAGCTGTAGTGAAGTGCCATCAAGTTGGTTTGGAAGCCCTGTATGGGGTTTCTAAGAAGTGGATGGTGAGTTTGAACCACTGATCTTACAATTCAAACTGACCTTATGGTCTAGTGCTTTAGCCTACAGCACCAAATCAGTAGTGAAATTGATTTCAAAACTGTAGTGAGGTAACACTTCATGTCCACTGTATCGTTGTTAGGTGCCATTGAGTCTGTTCTGACTAAGAGTGACTGTGTACACCGCAGAATGACACAACGCCTGGTCCTGTGCCATCCTCACAATTGTTACATTTGAGCCCATTTTTGCTGCCACTGGGTCAGTCCATCTCGTTGGGCGACTTCCTCTTTTTCACTGACCCTCCACTTTACCAAGAATGATGGACTTCACCAGAGATTGGTCCCTTCTAACAATGTGCAAGAAATGAAGTCTTGCCTTCCCGGGTCCTAAGAAGCATTCTGACTCTACTTCTCCCAACAGATGGTTTGTTCTCCTGGCAGTCTGTGGTACTTACAGTATCACTCTCCAACATATCAGTTCTTCTGGGTCTTTCTTAATCATTGTCCAACTTTCACATGCATATGAGGCAATTTGAAATGCCATAGCTTGGGTCACGTCCACTAGAATGGATTTTATCAAGAAATTAGAAAGTAACAAGTGTTGATGAAGATGATGTGAAGATATTGGAACCTTCATGTACTATTGGTGGGAATGTAAAATGGTGCAGCCAATGTGGGGAAAGTTTAATGATTCCTTAAAAAGTTAAGTTAGAAGTACCATGTTGTTGTTGTTGTTGTTAAGTGCCGTCAAGTCGGTTCCGACCCATAGTGACCCTTACAGGGTTTCTGAGGAGCAGCTGGTGAGCTTGAACCACCGACCTTGCAGTTCAAATGGCTTTGCAGTCGTGCATTAACCCACAGCGCCACACCAGGACCATATTGTTGTTGTTGTTAAGTACCATCAAATCGGTTCCGACTCATAGTAACCCTGTATAGGGTTTCTGAGGAGCAGCTAGTAGATATGAACTGCCAACCTTGTGGTTCGCAGTCCAGTGCTGATCCTACAGCGCCACACCAGGAGAAGTACCATAATACAAAAAAATATGAGAAAGAAAAAAAAAAAAATGCCATCCAGCTGATTCTGACTCATGTGGACCCTATAAGAACTATCATAGGATTTCCAAGGTTGCCAGTCTTTATGGAAGCAGACTGCTGGTGGGTTCAAATCAGCGACTTTCTGGTTAGCTCCAGCGCTCTTCACAGCTACCTGACCAGGACGCCTTAGAACTGCTACATGGCCCAGTGTTTCCTCACCTAGATACACCGCTGAGCCGTGAGTACAGTAGAGGCTAGGGGCACCGACCTGCACTTTTAAAATCTGTGTATAGCTAACAGCTGACCTTTGAACAGCATTGCTCAGGCCCGCTTAAGTGAGGGTTTTTGTTGTTGTTGTTGTTGTTGTTGTTGTTGTTGTTGCTTTTCCCCGTTGCTATTGCTGTGAGTTCAGGTATTGCAGGTATCCACTTAGAACACCATTTGCTAGAGAGACGAGCTGCTCACACAGAGATGATGAGTGTTACGTTTTGGTTTCTGTAATATCAGCTGGGATAAAATCTGTGTGGCAGGAGGGGCGTACAATTCAGACCTCCAACTGAATGTCCAAGAGCATTGCGAACTAGGACTCAAACAGATGCGCACATACCCGTTCGGTGCAGCACTCCTGTGTTTGTACACACATACTGTACACGTGTGTACATTTTTAGTCAACCACTCCCTTCCTAGCAAGATACTTTCTATTGGTAAACATTATGCTGGTTTATGTACATGTTGCTGTAAAAATAATTACCATAATTTACAAAAAATACCTGATTTGGGCAGTGCTAGTGGCCAAAAAAGGACACTTCATGGTGTTTATGTGCATAAATTCACTCTTCACAATAGCCAAAAGGTGTAACAACCAAAGTGCCAGTCAGCAGATGAATGGCTAAACAAAATGCAGTTTGTACATATTATTCACCTATGAAAGGAAATGCAATTCTAACAGTTGCCACAACATGGATAAACCTTGAAACCTGTTGAGTGAAATAAGCCAATCACAGAAGAACAAATACTGTATCATTCTATGTCTAGGAAATGTCTAGCAAATTGAGCCAGAAAATCAGGGTCTGGGGTCAGCAGTGGGGAAGAGTGAGTTATTCCTTAATGAGTACAGTTTCTGTTTGGGATGATGAAAAAGGTTTAGAAATAAACAGTGGTGATGCGTGCACAACATTCTGAATGTAAATATTGCCACTGATTAAAAATCATGTGTATGTGGGTATGTATATATATATATATAAAATCTTAAAAAAATTTTAGGAAAGGTTCCATTGTATTTTATTACTGTTTTCTCATGGACTTTTTGAAGCCCGCTTATCCATGTGTGTATGTATGTATTTTACCATGATAGACTAAAACAAATTGGGATTTCTGGTGTAGCACTATAGGATAAGCACTGGATGATGACCCTCAGGGTTAGCAGTTCAAACCTACCAGCTACACCTTGGAAACCCTACACATGTCAGAACTGACTTGACAGCACTAAACAACAACAAAATAAAAATTGAAAAATCAAAGAGCCATTGAGAAAAGTGGAAGAAACTCATTTAAAAGTGGAAGAAGGACTTTGATGCGGTAGGATAAGCACTGGGCTGTGAACCACAAGATCAGCAGTTCAAACCCACCAGCTGCTCTTTGGAAAGCCTATACAGGGTTGCTATGAGTTCGAACAGGCTGTACTGCACTTAGCAACAACAACGAACTAATGTGTATGGAAAGGGGTGGGGGTGTGGTGGGGGGTGGACCCTTAAAGCAGGTAGCTTTTCAAGATTCCTACTTCCTTTCTTGACTCAGGTACACAAATGCGTTGGTTCCTAGTTCTTCACTCGCTTTGTTGTTGAGTGCCATTGAGTCAGTTCCAACTCATAGCGACCCTGTATAGGGTTTCCAAGGAACGGCTGATAGATTTGAACCTCAAACCTTGCAGTCTAGTGCTTATCCTACAGTGCAACACCAAGACTCGAGAAAAACATATAGCCATGCTCTGATATGGGGTTCAGTGTGCTCCTCATCTCTCTTACTAGGGCATTCTTTCTGCTCCCATCTGCTCAAAACCAATTCTGAACCCTTCAGAATTTCAGGAAAAGATCCACAGGAGCTTGAAGTGGGGTCTGGTGGGGAATGGGACTCTGAAAACTGGTGTAGTTGAGAATGTTGTATCAAATGTTAGGCTTCTGAATTCCCTTTTTTTGTGTGCAAGTCAATCTTGTAAAGAGTTTATTTTAATTGTTGTTAAATGCTGTCGAGTTGATTCTGACTCATTGTGACCCTGTTTAGGGTTTCCAAGTAGCAACTGGTGGTTGGAATTAAACTGTTTGAACCTGGTTGTTCATAGTCCAGTGCTTATCCTATAGCACCACGTCAGAACTAGAGACTCATTTTCATCAGATTATATGTTTTTTTAAGTAGTTTTTTTTTTTAAAAAAAAAACTAATTTATAATTGAGAATATTAAATATTTTAAGACAATGATCAGTTCTGTGATCAAAGTAGGTATATGTTAGCCCTGACTCATATAGTAGGATTTGTATATTTAGAGGAGAAAATAAGTAGAATTTCTTTTACAGCAATTAAATAGTATCCAGCTGCACACACAAAACAGTTTGACTTTGTAACATATATAATGGGTTGATGCTGTTATTTTTATGTAAATTCTGAATGTACTCATTCTTCATTGATCTCTTTTCCCCAACAGGAATAGGAGGCCTACAAGACTTTGTGCTGAAATCTGCAACCCTGTGTAGTTCACCATCCTGCCCACCATTTATTCCGCTCAACTTTGAAGCCACTCCTATCGTGAGGGTTGCTGTGGAACCAAAGCACCCAAGTAAGATAACCCTGATTTTAAAATCAGTGTGATATGTTTGCATTTTTAAAATGCAAACATTTAACACTTGATTTCTCCGAATTTGTATCAGCAGTAACTTTTGTGCATTATCTAATAGAAATAGTAGATTTCTGTGGAATGTACTTACATGTCATAGAAGCGTCCCTAGTAACAAGGCAGTTTACCCTCTGTTCTAGGAACATGGTGTGTTGGCTTGCTTTGCTTCCCAGGGAGCCTATAGTCCTTTTTGATGGCAGAGGCAGGGTCATCTCATTGGTGTCCTGGCGTTTTTCATCTTTATGTCAGTTTCTGTTTGCTTGTTTTATTTTTTAACTGTCTCTACTTGTAGAGCCCTGCTGTGGTACTGTAGGATAAGCACTGGTCAGTTTGAACCACAAGGTCGGCAGTTCAAACTCCCCAGCTGCTCCTCGAAAACCAACTCCATGGCACATAACAACAACAACATACTTGAGGAGAGGTCCTGGTGTGGCGCTCTGGGATAAGCACTGGACCACAAGGTCTGTTTGAACTGATAAGTCACCAGCCGCTCCTCAGAATCCCTACACAGGGTCACTATGAGCTGGAAATGACTCAGTGGCACTTCACAATAACAAACAACACATACATGAGGAGGCGCGGTGATGCCACATGGTAAGCCCTGACTGCAAACTACATGGTCAGTGGTTCGAGCCCGCCAGCTACTCTGTGGCAGAAAGACGAAGCTTTCTGCTCCTTCAAAAAAGTTTTAAAAGCCTAAGAAACTCTATACAGGGTCACTATGAATCAGAATCAACTCCACAGCACTTAAAAATAGCAATAATATACATGAAGGTCAGTCAAAAAGTATTGCTACACAATCATAGAAGGCTTTTTTGTTTTTCCACATATCTAGGTCCTGGTGTTGCACTGTTAAAGCACTGGACTGTTAACTGTAAAGTTGGCAGTTCAAACCCACCAGGCAGTTCAAGGGGTTTCTGTGAGTTGAAACCGACTTGATGGCACTTACCAACAGCAGCAAGGCTTATTACACCTGTGAGGATGGTGTGTCCATTTCTCTAACTATTCCCGGGAAGACTCTGGGGCTCTCCAGTTTGCACCAAGTCAGATAGCACTGTTGGCATTCTGGAGGGACTCAAATCATGTTCTTGTTAAGTGTTCTTTGAGTTTGGGGAACAAAAAGAAGGCTGAAGAAGCCTGAAGGGACAAGATAAGGTCTCCCAAGGACATTCCTGTAAGCCAGCCCTTGCTACCCTCAAAGAATGAACTGGTACACTGCCATCCCAGAAAACAATTCCTTGGAAACCCTGTGTAGGTCGCTATAAGTTGGAACTGACTCAACAGCACTTATCAACTATATGTATAGAGAGACAGACAGACATATATACTGTTGTTTTATTTGTAACCAGGGTTTATAATCATGTTTGTTGTTGAATATCGTGGTGTTGATTCCTACTCATAGCAATCCTATATAAGGTTTCCAAGGAGCAGCTGGTGGGTTTGAACAGCCAACCTTGTGGCTAGCAGTGTGCTGTAAACCAAATTACTGCAAAGTTAAGTAGCTGAAAACAACAATGCTCACCCTGTTCCATAGGGTTTCCAAGACTGTAAATCTTTACCAGAGCAGATATCTCATCTTTCTCCTGCAGAGCAACTGGTGGGTTTGAACCACCAACCTTGCAGTTAGCAGCTTGTTTACCCACAGTGCCACCAGGCCTCTGAAAACAACAATAGTTGATTTTTTTTTCATGGTTCTTTGGTCAGGAGTTTGGGTTAGATTCAGCTTGGAGTCTCTTGAAGCTGCTGTCATATGTCAGCTAGGGTTGCAGTCATGTGAAGGCTGAGGTGGACCTCCAAGGTGGTCTGTTCACGTGGGCTCTCATATTGGTGCCAGCTGGAACATCCGGGCCTCTCTACGTGGGCCTCTTCACACAGCTGCTGGAAAGGTCCTGCTGCATCGCATTGCTGACATGGCTGGCCTTAGCAGCAGTCCAGGACCCGAGGCAGATGCTACACCGTCACGTCTGCAGTGTGGAGTTGACTACTGGTTACGTGGGCAGCCCAGGCATGCTGTGGAGGGCCTGCACTGGACGGTCAATGTCAGCAGGGCAGGAGGAATATGTATGTTTTTACTGTAACACTTTGTGATACAGTTGTTCAGAAGTCTGCTTCTAGCTTCCATTTATTTCGACACTTGATTTTTAATGACTGTCACACTAGGAAAACACCTTACAAGTCTCATAGTTTAAGTGGAAGCTGTGTGGCACGGGCTGCCTTTACTGAACCATGTTGTCCGTTATAGAATACTAGCTATACAAAGGTTTTGATGAAATGCAGATAGATATCTAGTTTTCCATCAGTTGTGGTTTTTTACATTACTTAAAAAGGTGTTGTGGAGTCTCTGGGTGGTGCAAATGGTGAAACACTTGACTACTGTAAGGTCGCCAGTTCAAGCCTACCCAGGGGCACCTCAGAAAAAAGGCCTGGTGATTTGTTTCCAAAAGGTCACAGCTTTGAAAACCCTGTGGGGTGCAGTGTAAATCAGCTTTAAGAAAACCAGCTTTCAGATTTTAAGAAAAAATTAGATGCAACACACTCTTTAAGAACTTGACTGTTAACTTAGAGATTGGTGGTTTGAACCCACCACTGCTCGGTGGGACAAAGATGAGACAGTCTGCTTTTTGTAAAGATTGTTGTTAAGTGTATCGACTCAGTTCTGACTCATAGTGATCCTGTATAGGGTTCCAAGGAGCAGTTTGAACCACTGACCTCATGGTTCACACTGACCTTGCGGTCCAGCGCTTTACCTCACAGCGCCACACAGCTTCAGAACGCTGTTTCCTCCCTGCCAGGAGGCTCACTATGAGTCGGAATCAACTTGACGGCAAGGGATTTGGTTTATCGATAAGGTGTCTATGCTGTTTGGGGCAACAAGACAACACTATCAATGGAAACATTTGCAAACATGTAATTCCAAAATATTTCCATGTTCAAACTTATTTGTAAAACACTTTGTTGCTTATTGCTAAATTGAAGAGAGAGATTTAAGTGTGTTTATGTTTTTTGTTGTTTGTCTAAGTATCTGCTAGTTTCTAATACTGATGACAGCCTTTGTTTTCACATTGTCCTTTGGCTGATGGAGAGCTGACAAAAATCTTTTTTTATATATACTCTTCCCTTATGCTGTGCTATTAGTATTATCTTCAGTCTGTAGTCTCTTTGCAGGGATCCTTTTAAGCCTTGTTTTAAATTCTGTAAAGGCTGAGTTAGTTAATACTAGATAATAGTAAACCCACTTACCTAGACAAAGGAAAACTACAGCATGCTGAAATCAAAGTAACCAATGAGGATACCTCTTTTCTGGCCTACATGTAGTGGGATCTCACTCCATGTCCATGCATCCCATTGGAGGCTCGTGACCACCTGATCATGTGAAAGTGCTGACCCCCGTCTATAGAACATTAACTCTGTGGCTGGCTGGCTGGCTTAAAAACCAGGCTTTTTATCCCTTATGGGGAGACCTGGTGTGGCGCTGTGGGCTAATGCGTCAGACTGCACAGCAATTTTAACTGCAAGGGTGGTGGTTCAAGCTCACCAGCTGCTCCTTAGAAACCCTCCCTAAACAGGGTCACTATGGGTCGGAACCAACTCAATGGCACTTAACCACAACAGCATCCCTTATGGAGTCCTGTTGGTTAATTCGCCAGACTGCAAAGTCAGTGTGAACCACAAGATCTGCAGTTCAAGCTCACCAGCCGTTCTTCAGAAACACTATACAGGGTCGGCTATGGATCGGAACCATCTTGACGGCATTTAACAAGAATAACAATACCTTAGGGATTCTGTACTCTTGAGCACCAATCCCTGAGCGTCTCTCTACATAGGGTTTTTGCCTATAAAATGAGACAGAACTCAGACCTGCCTCAGAGTTAATGAGTTTTGGTAAGTTCATGTATGCAAACTGCTCGTCTGGCACATTGCTAGAGCTCTAAACTTTTAGTTATTATTATAAATGCCTCATTTCTGATATCTAAAAATTAATAGATGTAGAGGTTCTAACGTTTGGCGGTGGTTCAAGCCCACCTGCCATTCCGTAAGAGAAAGGTGAGGCTTTCTGATCCTGTCAAGATTTCTTTTTTTTTTTTAAGATTTTTATTGTGGATTGAGTGAAAGTTTACAGGGCATATCATCAGTTTTACATTCAACAAATTCATACACCTTGTTCCATTACATTACATACATGTTCCCCTCCATGTACCATCAGTTAACAGTATTTCTCTATATCCACCTTAGCTTTTAAAAAAACAAAAAAACACTCAGTCATATATAATAATTTACATCTCCAAAGGGCACATTCTGTAAGTCTGCCTCCTGGCCACCAGCTCTTAGTCCCTCTCTTCCCATGAATCTAGTCCTCAGCTGCTCCCCTTCTCCATGACCCCCGTATCTCTGCGTCCCTGCTTCTCTGGATAAGGTCTTGCATTCTGCTTGTGCTCTTCTCCCTTGATGGTCCTAGGGTCCTCTGTTTCTGTATTGCAAGATTAACCACTCCCCTGTTTTTGTTACAAAACTTTACAATTGTGACAGTCGCAATTAGTCATGATAACATTTATTATTGAATCATACGAATCTTACTTATCCTCATCTCTTTGCACCAGACCCATCTAGACAAGATGATATCTATTTAGTGGGGACTCTTTCTTCCCCCCATACTCTTAAACTAAACTCCCTCTTGAAACCTTGTAAACGAGTCACTTCGTGCCTTTATCGCCCCCTCATTTTAGTTTGCCAGTGTCTAAGTTGCCCATCCCTATCTACCCTGTGTACAGAGGGGATAGCATTGATATTTGATGTGAAGACCCCTTCCCTCTCTGTTGGTGTTTAGAGTAGCTAACTCTCTGAGTATAGGTCAGGTTCATCAAATTGTAGCAATTTACCCTTGTTTCCTTTATCCCAAAAAAAAAAAATGTTTTGTTTTTTTTGTAATCTTCCTCTAGTCGAGTTCTGATTATCAAGCCATTGAGGCTACGTCAGAAGGGTACTGTTGCAAGTTTGGGTGTTCTTGTGCATCTCCCCTCAGCTGGATGCTTCATTCTCAGCTCTAGCCCTCTGTGGCTATGCACTTGTCCATGGGCTCAGGTGTCCGCTGGTCTCACCACACTTTGGACCCTTCTTCTTTCTCTCATCTCCAGGTCAACAGGAGTCTATGGAATGTGGTTGAATTCAGCCCATTTCATCATTGCTGCCTTTCCCTGTCTTTCTGGACAGATGCTGATATAGTCATCTATTTCTATTTTTTGGGCATATTCAGGAGTCATCTGTGGCCTTAATACTTAGATGGGTGTGTATTTTAGTATTTTTTATGCTTTCCAATTGCCTCCAGATAGATTTGATCAGGATATGGGCTTCCCTTTTCACTCTTCTTCCTGAGAAATTTCAAGATGCCACTGTTGGTCGTTGTGACATAACTGAGGATTTAATTTTCGGCCTAGTTCCTTTATAGTATGCTGTCCCATTCCACAATTCCCGTTCAGGCCTTTTTTCTAGTTATAAACAGTTCAGGGCCTGCTGTGGCCATTTGGTTTTAAGTGGAAACTGTTTCTTTAAATTTGAGGAGCTCTGTGCACATGCATAGTAGAACCCTCCAAAGGTCAGGGTGGGATGTCCACTCACTCAGGTACCCTCTCTAGTCACCAGAATGGAGGTACGCAGAAAGCGAGAGACCAATGAGCAGATACTAAAAGAAAAAAAAAATAATAATAATAGAATGTCCACACTTTTATTTCCGTGGTTCTGTCAGGCGTCCGTGACTGCTCTGATCCTTCCCCTGCTTGGTCTCGCCCAAGATGGCGGCTCCAGGAGCAGCAGAGCATCTTGAATTAGAAAGCACTGGATTTCTTGCTTCTGCTACAAATTTCTCTAGCTGTAAGCCTTCCAACCCTCTAAGTATTCCTTTATTTGTGGTTCAGAGTTCTGGCACCATTCCCTGAACCTGCTTGGTCCGGTATTCTGTGTTATTGCTGACGGAGCTCCTCACTGCACTTCCACCCGATCCGCCATCTTGTTTGTTCTCTCTTGTCATGATTTGCAGGGTCACTGTGAATTCTTAGTTGGGCCACTGTGAGTTTGAATGGACTCAGTGACGTTGTGTGGGGGCAGGAGTGCATAGAATGCTTGTGAATTCAAATGTTTGGCCTATTGAAAACCAAGCACTTGAGGAATTACTGAGTTCTTCCTTCAGATACAGAAGTGAAACTTGTTGTTTGGTGCCATCGAGTCGGTACTGACTCATCGTGACCCTTTGCACAACAGAAGGGAACAGTGCCCCATCCTGAGCCAACCTCACAATTGTTGCCACATTTGAGCCCATTGATGATGCCACTTTACCAGTCCATCTCACTGAGGGTCTTCCTCTTTTTCTCTGACCCTCTACCTTACCAAACATGATATCCCTCTCCAGTGAAACCAGGCGACATGAAATTCCTTCATAGCCCAGGTCTCTAGTTAAATAGTAGTAGAGACTTCCTCAGGCTGGCCTTGAGTGAACAGTAGCAGCGAGTATGTGGAAAGGTAAACCTGAGGTGTTACTCTGCGTCCCCATCGGTATCCTCAGCTCCTTTAACTATAGAGAACAGACAATTATGTATCAAAAGCACAAGGATGCAATGCAGAAGGCACTTGTAACCACTGGGTAAGTGACTAGTTAATGTGTTTCAGCTCTTAACTACAGCTCTAACCCAAATGGCAGCTTTCTTGTAAAACCCAGAATTCTGACAAATCGTTTTCACATGATCATCTCAAATAGGAGGTTCCTCTCTACAGGCATATGTGGTTTTCTGCACTGGCTTTATTAGATGTTGCAGATCGGTGTGTTTTACAAGTTTTGTGACAACACTGTGTGGCACATTTATCCAGCAGCATGTGCTCATGGCTCGTCTCTGTCACATTTCAGTAATCCTCACAGTAGTTCAAACTTCCTAATGCTTCTGCACACATAATAGACTACAATGTAGTGTAAATGGGAAACCAGAAGTTTGTGTAACTGACTTTATTTCAACACTCACTTTATTGCAGTGATCTGGAACCAAACCCGCAACATCTCCAAGACATACCTGCCACTTCTTTTCATTAAATAGCATATTAAATTTTTTTGTTTTGTTTTGTTTTGTTTTCGCTTATACTTGAACTCTTTGGGGAAGAGCTCTGATACATCTCTGTTTTTGTTCAGTGTCATCGAGTAGTTTCTGACTCAAAGCGACCTTTTGTTAGGGATTCTGAGCCTGTAAATCTTTACGGGAGCAGAAAGCTTCATCTTTCTCCTGCACCACCAGCTCTTGTTACATCTGTAGATAAGTATATCTGTGTGCTTGTAATAAGATTTAGGTGGATTCCCAGATGGTAGTTTCTGTTTGAAGAGGTGACACACAGATCAGCACTGGGTGTCTGGTGTTGAGCATTGTGTCTCTTGTTAATTATCTGAATAAATACATTACTAGAAAATTGTTTTTATCTTATGTCTGCCCTTTGTAGACAGAAAATAAGTTATGATGTTAAGAGTTTATTCTGTTGTCCTTCCTTGGGTGTTCATAGACATTGCCTTTCGGTTGTGTTTATTGTATTTGATCAGTTTTATTTTCTTACACAGGTGAGATGCCTCAGCTTGTCAAAGGAATGAAGCTATTAAACCAAGCTGATCCCTGCGTCCAGATTTTAATTCAGGAAACTGGAGAGCATGTTTTAGTTACAGCAGGGGAAGTCCACCTTCAAAGATGCCTGGATGACTTAAAAGAAAGGTTAGGTGATAATGAAATTGACGGCGAAATGATCGATCCAAAACCACTGGCTATTTTAGTGTTTATTTAACCATTTGAAATTAGCCTGGTTTGGTTTTGGAGCATAGGGAAATGACCTCAGACATTTTCCTATAACTTGAATATTTTTGCATGCGTTTTTTATTTGAGTTAAAAAGTTTGTCATACATACATATTTTACTTGGTTCATATACACAGCATTCAGCACGTCAGGGCAACAAAACAAATGACACTGTAAATTTAGACTGTGATTAAGAGGGGCTTCTTTCCGTACTGAGAAAGCCCTCTGCAGTGGACATTTTCTGGGAGTCTTTCTCCAGGAATGGTCCCAACAGAGGCGGCATCCCAAATCACTTTTTGTAAGTAATCTTTCTCCATTTATTCCAAAGATAACGTATGCTTACTGCAGCAGTTAGGAAATTGAAGAAGAATAAAAACAATCGCTCTGTTATCATGTAGATAAATAACCACCTTTAAATCCCAGTCTGTTCTGTGCATACTCAAATATACATAGATATCTATATACTTAACTCTGATTATTTAGTTAATACAAACTTGGAAAATATAGTTGTTGAGTAACAGGACAAGCATACTTTGAAGGTTTATGATCCATACTATCATCAAGAACGACTGTTCCAATTTACACAACAGTAGCAATAAATACTTGCAGGTACTTCTTTTCCCAGACCCATCTGTCAATCTGAAAGGCAAAAACAATGTTCATTTCTATTTCTGTGCTGGCTTTGTTGGTGATGGTGTTCAGTGCTGACGCATGGTAACCCAATGTGTGCAGAGTAGAATTGCTCAATAGAGTTTTCAAGGCTTGGACATTTTGGAAGCAGATTTCCAGGGGTCCTGTCATCCGAAGCAAAGCCGGATGGGTTTGAACTGCTAACCCTTCTCCTTTCTGCTTGCTTTCCATTGGTTCCCACTCATAGTGACCCTGTAGACAAGGTCTGACTGCCTTGGTATGTCCTTAGGCTGTACTGTGCACAGGACCAGATCACCGGGTCTTTTCTCCTATGGGGGATTGGAACCACTGACCTTTCAGTTAGCAGCTAAGTGCTTAACCAGAAAAACAGATAACTGATTAACACATGAACGAAACATCCCAGTTCTACTACCACAAGGTCCATGCTCGAGCCTGCCAGCCACTCTGCAGGAGAAAGATGAGGCTTTCTGTTCCCATGAAGCTTCAAAGCCTCTGAAACCCTATACAGGGTCACTATAAATCAGAACTGGCTCGCTGGCCTTATCAACAACAACAGCAACAACTACCACAGTGTCCTTGTGCGCTCACAAGTGATAGGTTTTTCATGTTTTTATTAGCCATTTGCCCCGTAATACCCCCTTTTCCTTTTAATTTTAAAATTTCTAAAACTATAATAATATTAGTAATCTTAGCAAAAATAAAAATGATCTATAATCAGAGTATTTACATACTGAATACACCATGAATACTTATACATTGTCTCATTTAACCCTACAGCAGCCTAGTAAAATTGACAGGGGTATTGGTAGGGTGGGGGTGAGGCTGGTAACCCCTGGGTGGTGCAAACCCTTAGCACTGTGCTAACCGAAAGGATGAGGCTTGCATGTACCCAGAGGTGCCTGGGAAGAATGGCCTGTCGATCGACTTCCAAAAATCAGCGATTGCAAATCTTCTTGAGCATAGTTCTGCTCACCATCAGCAGCACCAGGGTGAGGAGGAATCCTATCATTATTACTAGTATTAATAGATTAAGATTGGCTGCAGCCGCTGCTGGGGCAGCCTGTGGAATTTTGTAGAAACTCCTGGTTTGTTTTCTTTCATTTCATGAGGTTCTATGGCTTTTTCCTTCTTTAATGTTTTTGTAGCTTTAAGTGGATTCTTGGTGTGGCACTATAGGATAAGCACTGGACTGCAAATCATAAGGTCAGCAGTTCAAACCTACCAGCTGTTCCTTGGAAACCCTATCCAGGGTCCCGATGAGTTGGAACCAATTTGACGGCACTTAACAAAAACAACGATATAGCTTTGCATATACATAGCACAAAATCAGAAGGTTCTATCTTTTTTACATTTGTAGCATGCATTTGTAGAATTTCTACAGGTTTTAATGTTAGACAATAATGCTAATCAGGTAAATCCTCAGACACAATTCATTTTATTAAACAATAAATAATTCTCAGTATTTTAAAGAAACTTTGATATATTATTTTTTGCTTGTGCTTTACAAGTAAATTATTTTCTCCCTTTTCACTCACTTTGGTACCAAATTAAAATCTACTTAAAATAACCTTACATTTCTCAGGCCATTAGCTCCTTTTTTGTACTTAGAATCATGTTTTTTGGTTCTTAGAATTGTACTTTGAGTAATAGTCCCCCTAAACTGGAACAGACTAAAAAGAGCATTTAGAAATTCATTTTCTAGAATACACTAAATGGGGTGTTAAAAATCATTTGAATAAATCAGTTCATTCTAGAAGCCATTCTGTGTAAGCCTTTCAAATATCTAAAATTAATCTTTAAAGAATATATGATGTCATGCTGTAGGATAAGCACTGGGCTGCTAACTTCAAGGTTGGCAGTTCAAACTCACCAGCTGTGATTGGAAAGCCCATACAGAATTGCTGTGAGTCAGACCCAACTCGATGGCACTTAACAACAGCAACACCACACTTTCCTAAGATATTTTATAAATTCGGACGTGTTTATTGTTTTCCCTAAAGATTCTAATTCTGAATGTAATTTTAACTTTTCCTTGCTACTTTCCTTTCCCCACCCCACTCCACCCAAAAAATTTCCTTTGTATTATTTGTACCAGAGTTCTCTTTGTTCCCAACCTTTGCATTCCAATCACCAGTAATGATCAATATATCTTGATTGCATATTTGATAATTTCAGATTGAAAAAGTTGGTAGAATTCTTCTATTTCATCCTCACTGGCTTTTGTGGTTGGTGCATAAATTTGAATAATAGTGGTGTTAACTGG